TTACTGGAATTAAGACTTATTCTATGCATCTGCTCTCCCACAATATGGCGCTGGGAGAGGAGGAAACAGCTTCTACACAGCTGCCTCCAGTTCAACCAATAAACAGCAGGACCTGCTCCTGATTGCAGGAGAGCAGCGTACTCAGCGTGTGGGTAGCAGAGTTGGGATTGGCGGAAGAGGACTATAAAGGAGGAGAGAGACAACATGCACCAGGAACATCTATCTGAAGGAACACCTGAGCAGCCCCCGAGAGAGCCAGCCGGCGGTGTGCCACTCCCCCGTGGAAGTGGGGAAAGTGGCAGGGGGAACCACCCTTCCACGGAGGTGGAAGGGACGGTAGCCAACCCGGGAAGAACCAGCAGCAAACCCGGGGAGGGCCGAGCAGACGAAAGAACAATGCAGGGTCCTGTGTCGTTCCTCCACGAAGATGGGGAGCGACATAATGGTGCCGTGACTTGGATATGAAGCCTAGACAGGGTCCTGTGTCGTTCCTCCATGAAGAGGGGGAGCGACAGACCATCAAATGGAAGATCTCTCTTTTCTCTCTTTCTCCCTCACCATCTATATAACTACATTTACAGTATATAAATATTTTGAAGATTTTCTTTAAATTCATTCTAAAACTGTGTCTCTGATTACATGTATGCATTATATGTACATCACAGAACAATAGGAAATGTAATATAGGCTCTGGGAAGAGATCAAATCTCCTTCTATATTTAGTCACTTAACATTTACACACAGATATCCACATATATACATATACTTTTATAAACAAAACTATGACCAAGGTTGACATGGTATTTTGTAGTCTACTTTTCCTACTCAACAGTATGTAATGCCGGCGCTGTGGCTCACTAGGCTAGTCCTCCGCCTTGCGGCACCAGCACCCTGGGTTCTAGTCCTGGTTGGGGCGCCGGATTCTGTCCCAAGTGCCCCTCTTCCAGGCCAGCTCTCTGCTGTGGCCAGGGAGTGCAGTGGAGGATGGCCCAAGTGCTTGGGCCCTGCACCCCATGGGAGACCAGGATAAGTACCTGGCTCCTGCCTTCGGATCAGTGTGGTGCACTGGCTGCAGAGCGCCCAGCCGTGGCAGCCATTGGAGGGTGAACCAACGGCAAAAGGAAGACCTTTCTCTCTGTCTCTCTCTCTCTCTCTGCCCACTGTGCCTGTCAAAAAAAAAAAAAAAGTATGTAATGAGCTTTTCTCTTCAGGTTGTTAACTATTCTTTTTAAATGTCATAATTTTAATTGGCTGAAAATATTAACCTTTCCTTTTGACTACTTAAGTTTTAACATTTTTTCTATGATGAACACTCTTCATATAAGTCATTATGCATATGTCTGATTTTTAAGTTTAGATTGCATTGTGTAAGTTGAGTTACTAGGCCCAAGAGGTAATTACTGGGTCCCATAGTAGGGGCATTTTAAGGACTATGGTAAATAATGCTAAACTTCCCTATAGAAAAAGACAGCAGTAATTTATCTACCTATCAAAATTGTATAAGAGCCATTTTCTTTTTTTTTTTAATCTTTTATTTAATGAATATAAATTTCCAAAGTACGACTCATGTGTTACAATGGCTTCCCCCCCCATACCGTCCCTCCCACCCACAACCCTCCCCTTTCCCACTCCCTCTCCGCTTCCATTCACATCGAGATTAGTTTTCGATTATCTTAATATACAGAAGATCAGCTTAGTATACCTTAAGTAAGTATTTCAACAGTTTGCTCCCACACAGAAACATAAAGTGAAAAATAATAGATGATTTTTTTTAAATGATGATGAAATCAGATCAGACCTATTGTCATGTTTAATCCCAGTGAGAGTCAAGTTGGGAATTGATAATTTCTTTCTTTCTTTTTTTTTTTTTTTTTACAGAAGATCAGTTTAGTGTACATTAAGTAAAGATTTCAGTCGTTTGCACCCCCATAGAAACACAAAGTGAAATATACTGTTTGAGTACTCGTTATAGCATTAAGCCTCAGTGTACAGCACGTTAAGGACAGAGATCCTACATGAGGAGTAAGTGCACAGTGACTCCTGTTGTTGACTTTACCAATTGACACTCCTGTTTATGGCATCAGTAATCTCCCTATGCACCAGTCATAAGTTTCCAAGGCTATGGAAGCCCCTTGAGTTCTCCGACTAAGAGCCATTTTCTTGAGAAAATGCTTAGTAATAAGAGGTATTGGAAAAAATTAAAATAATCATCAATTGAGTCATTAAAATGTCATCTCACTGTTGTTTTGCATTAAACTTGTTATTATTAATGTGTGAATTTTATTTCCTAAGTAATTGTATATTTATATTTCTTCATTTCTATACTGCATTTACTAATTTTAAAATAATTTTTATTTAAATGGATGGAGGAGCTGGTGCTGTGGCTTAGTGGCTAAAGCTGCCAGCTGCAGTGCTGGTATTCCCATATGGGTGCTGATTCAAGACCTGACTGCTTAACTTCCCATCCAGCTACGTGCTGTAGCCTGGGAAAGCAGTATATGGCACAAGTCTTGGGCCCCTGCACCCCTATGAGAGACCTGGAAGATGCTCCTGGATCCTGGTTTCAGATTGGTCCGGCTCTAGCTAGGCCAACTGGGGATTAAACCAGCAGATGGAAGACCTCTCTCTCTCTGCCTCTCTGCAACTCTACCTTTCAAATAAATAAATAAATCTTAAAAAATTAAAAAAATGAATGGAACAAATTTCATATATTTCACATATATGGTTTTAGAATAATGATACTCCCCACTCTACCCTCTCTCTCTCCCTCCTCCTACCTTTCTTATTTTCCTTTTTATTTTCACAATGACATACTTTTTCTTGAAGATTTATTCATTTTATTTGAAATTCAGAGTTACATAGAGAGAGAAAGAGAGGCAGAGAGAGAGAGAGAGAGAGACCCCCAGAGACACCTGGGACCCTCAGAGACCCCTGGGTCCCCCAGAGATCCCCCAGAGACCCTGACACACCTGGGACACCAGAAGTGGACTGGAAGTGACTTAGGAACTCAGAAGTGGACCAGGAGTCTGAGAACCCTGAAGTTGGCCAGAAGTGACATGAAACGGACCAGAAGTGACTGCAGGAATCTGAAAGTGGACTGGAAGTGACTCTGGGAACCTCAAAGTGGACTAGAAGTGCACCTGGAAATGACCAGAAGTGACTCTATGAACCTGGAAATGAACAAGAAGTGAGTGTAGAATGACCAGAAGTGGTTCTAGGAACTGTAAGTGGACCAGAAGTTTGTCTAGGAACCTGGAAGTGACTGGAAGGAGGGAACTTGGAAAGAAAGGAAGGATGGAAGGAGGGAAGGAGGGAAGGAGGGAAGGAGGGAAGGAAGGAGGGAAGGAATTCATGAGTCATGCTGAAGTTCCTGCTGAGTAATCATAAAATTTCTGTGGACTCATCATTATTACATACCTGCTCACTCAGCATTATTACTTACCTAGTGAGTCATTATTATTACACACCTGGTGAGTCATCATTTCATACCTGCTGATTCATGATTATTACACACCTAGTTACATACCTGCTAACGCATCACTATTACATATCTGCTGACTCATCATTATTACATATCCAGTGAGTCATCCTGACATATATACTCAGTCATCCTACTATAATTGCTGAGTCATCCTACTATATGTGCTGAATCATTCTACTGTACTTGCAGAGTCATCCTACTATACTTCCTGAGTCATCATTTCACACTCACTGACTCATCATTACCTACCTGCTGATGCATCATTAACATACCTGGTAAGACATTATTACACACCGGCTGAACCATCGTTATGACATACCTGGTGAGTCATCGTTACTATATACCTGCAGAGTCACCATTTCATACCTACTCACTCATCATTACATATCAACTCAGACATCGTTCTGTACCTGCTGACTCACCATTCATACATGCTGAGTCATCGTTACCTACCACAGGTACACACCTACAGTCATAAAACTACACCTACTAAGTCATACTCCTCGACCTACTGAGTCATACTTCTAAAATTGCCAAGTCATGCTTCCAGACTACCTGAGTCATGCTTCTAACACTAACCCAAACCCAAATCCCATCCCAACCCTAACTATAACACCAAACCTAACCTGCTGAGTCATGGCACTAGGCCTGCTGAGTCATGCTTCTATCTGTATTCCTAAACCAACCCCAACCCCAACCCCTAACCCTAACCATAACCCCAGCCCCAGCCCCAACCCCACCCCAACCCCAATGCTAACCCTAACCCTAACCCCAACCCCTATCCCTACCTTCATGCACCTACTGGAGACCCGGATGAAGCTCCTGGGGCTGGATCAGGGCCCCTGTGCACCTGCTGGTGATCTGAATGGAGCTCCTGGCGGCCCCGTGCACCTGCTGGAGACTGGGATGGAGCTCCTGGAGATCCGGAAGAATTTCTGGGTCAGGACCCCTGCTCACCTGCTGGAGATCCGGATGGAGGTCCTGGGGGTGGGCTCAGGTCCGCGTGCACCTGTTATATGCTCGTGAGAGACCCGGATGGAGGTCCTGGAGTGAGTCAGGGCCTCGTACACCTGTTATATTCCTGTGAGAGACCCGGATGGTGCTCCTGGGGCTGACTCAGGGCCCCGTGCACCTGCTGAGACCCGGATGGATTTCAGGCTCAGGGCCTCGTGCACTTGCTGAGATCTGAATGGAGGTCCTGAGGGCCCCGTGCACCTGCTGAGACGCAGATGGAGCTCCTGGGGTGGGCTCAGGGCCCTGTGCAACTGCTGGAGACCCAGATGGAGCTCCTGGGGCCCCCATGCACGTGCTGGAGACCTGGATGGAGGTCCTGGGGTGGCTTAGGGCCCCTGTGCACCTGCTGGACACCCGGATGGAGGTCCTGCGGGTGGGCTCAGGGCCCCGTGCACCTGCTGGACACCCGGATGGAGGTCCTGCGGGTGGGCTCAGGGCCCCGTGCACCTGCTGAGACCCAGATGGATTTCAGGCTCAGGGCCCCGCGACCCTGCCTGAACCGTGGTTCATGCAATCTGTGTTTTTTGTTGTTGTTGTTGTTGTTTGTTTGTTTGTTGTTTTTGTTTGTTTGTTTGTTTGTTTGTTTCCTCTCTCGGACCTGCAGCTCCACCGCCCGCCTCGTCCGTGTCTCCGCCATGAAGCCGTGGGTCTGCCGGCTGCTCGGCGTCCTGTGCGCGGCACTGTCCTGGGCCCTGGGCCTAAGCTTCACCCGCAGCACCTCGTGGCACCTCTGGGAGTTCCGCAGCGATTCGGTGCCCTTCGTGTCTATCGGGATCTGGGAGGCCATCTACTACCAGCGGGTCAACGTGTCGGGCCCTACGGGCGGTGCCCACGCGCAGCCGCATCCACAGCAGCTGGGTGCTCCTGGCTGAGAAGGAGCACGGCCGGGACCTGCTGTTCTTCGCGAACTTCGCCAAGGCGGCAGCGCTGCTGTTGGGCGCAGCGGCCGCCCTGCTGGGCTGGGCCCGGCGGGGTCCAGGGAGCCGCACGCGCTGGGCTCCAAGGCAGCGGCTGCGTTCCTGACGCTGAGTGGCTGCTGCACCTTGATCGCTGTGACCTGGAACGCGGCGGCCGATGAGCGCGGGTACAGCGCCCTGGACTTCCCACTGCACTTCCCCGTGGCCAAGGCGAGCCGGGCGAGGGCGCATGGCTCGGCTTGTACGTGCTACCGTTGGGCCTGGCCATGGCCGCACTGTCGCTGGCCGGTGCCCTTGTGTTCCTCGGGGAGGCCTGCCTGGCGCAGCGGCGGAAACCTGTGGCTCCCAGAGCAGACGACCTGGGCTGATAGCCCCGCCCCATGGGCTGAGAGCCCCCCACCTGGGCTGAGAACCACCCCACCTGAGCTGAGAGCTCCCCCAACCTGTTTTTGGAAAATTTCTTAAAGAAATTTTTGGCATCCTTGGCTCTTGTCTACCCAGTCCATGTCCTAGCACAGCGTCCTGCACCCTCTGCCATCCACTGGGTCTGTTCCTGAAATGCCCACAGCAACAACCAGGGGGTGGGGCCAGGCTGGAGTCAGGAGCCTGGAGCTCTCCATCCAGGTCTCTAGCAGATGCATGGGGCCCCCAGGGGCCCCATCCTGGTGTCTAGGGCTCCATCTGGATCTCTAGGGGCTCCAACTGGGTCTCTCGGGGCTCCACCCAGGTCTCTAGGGGCTCCATTCGGGTCTCTAGCAGGTGCACAGAGCCCCCAGGAGCTCCATCCCAGTCCCCAGGGGCTCCATCCGGGTCTCTAGCAGGTGCACAGGGCCCCCAGGGGCTCCATCCCAGTCCCCAGGGGCTCCATCTGGGTCTTTAGCAGGTGCATGGGGCCCCCAGGGGCTCCATCCGGGTCTCAAGCAGGCACATGGGACCCCCAGGGGCTCCATCCGGGTCTCTAGGGGATCAATCCAGCTTGCAAGGGCTCCATCTGGGTCTCTAGGCGGTGCACAGGGCCCCCAGGGGCTCCATCCGGGTCTCAAGAGCTCCATCTGGATCTCTAGCAGGTGCATGGGGCTCCATCTGGGTCTCTAGGGGCTCCATCCGGGTCCCCAAGAGCTCCATCGGGGTCTCTATTAGGGGCACCAGGACCCCAGGGAGGGAATGCATGTAAGGGGTGACAGGCAGAAGACAAGAAGAAACATGAAAGGGAGGTTATGGCAACGATTCATGCATTTGACACTTGGGTGAAGATTTATAACACCTAATACAACGTAACGGATATGTGAAGTTATTATGACAAGAAAAAAAATGGAAGAATCAAATGGCGAGCAGCAGCGCCCAGGCGGCGGAGCTGTCGGGGGGCATGGCCACCACGGGCCCTGCCCCCTCCCTAGCCGGCCTCACCAAGAAATGAACGTGGCCTCCTGGGAGGCGTGCCCTCCGCGGTCCCCGCCCCTCCCGAGGACCCAACATGGCCGCGCGCAGCGGGAACGGAAGGGTGGCTGGCGGCGGCTGAGGCGCCATGACTCCGCGCTGGCAGATGGCTCGGCGCGGCCGGGCGGGGTCGGGATGCCATGGCTGAGCGGGGGCGGCCAGCGGCGGGGACGGGGACCGCAGAGCGAGGCCGCCCGGGAGTCGCCGTCCCCGTCCCCGCCGCCCTCACCGCCTGCACCCCCAGCTCCCTCAGCACCTCAGCCGCCGCTTGTCAGGAAGAGCGCCGAGCTGCCGCTGCCCGCCGGCTGGGAACAGGCGCGCGACTACGATGGCCTCATCTTCTACGTCGAACACAACAGACCTCGTGGATGGACCCCGCGACCGGTCAATGCGGGGTCAGCAACAGCGCTCCGGGTCCGGAAGGCAGGGGTGGACCCCGCCCCCAGGGCCCTGGGCTTGGTGTGACCCCCTGGGAGGGTCCAGGTCACCCTGACCCTATCCTCAGGTCGCTTGGCTCTGTGTGACCCTTGGGCGTTCAGGTCACCCACACGACACCCCCAGGGCCCTGGTCTTGGTGTGGGGGCCCTGGAGGGTCCAGGTTGCCCAGACCCCATCCCCAAGGCTCTGGGCTCGGTTTGACCCCCTGGGAGTGTCCAGGCTGCCCCTACACAACCCACAGGGCCCTGGGCTCATTGTGACCCCCTGGGAGGGTCCAAGTCACCCAACCCCACCCCTAGGGCCCTAGGCTCAATGTGTGACCCCCTATCCCACCCCCAGTGCCTTGGGCTTGCAGTGATCCTCTGGGAGGGTCCAGGCCACCCCAACCCTATCTGCAGGGCCCTGGGCTCGGTGTAGGGTCTCTGGGAGGTTCCAGGCCACCCCTACAACACCCACAGGGCCCTGGGCTCACTGTGACCCTCTGGGAGGGTCCAGGCCGCCCCTACACCACCCCCAGGCCCTGGGCTTGGTGTGAGCCCCTGGGAGGGTCCAGGTCACCCCCACCCCAATCACAGGGCCCTGGGCTTGGTGTGGGGTACCTGGAGAGTCTAGGCTGTCCTGACCACATCCCCAGTCCCTGGGCTTGGTCTGATCCCCTGGGAGGGACCAGGCCGCCCCTATACCACCCCCAGGCCCTGGGCTTGGTGTGACTCCCTGGGAGGGTCCAAGTTGCCCTGACCCCACCCCCAGGGCCCTGGGCTCAGTGTGTGACCCCCTGCCCCAACCCCAGAGTCTTAGGCTTAGAGTGACACTCTGGGAGGGTCCAGGTCACCCGACCCCACCCCCAGGGCCCTGTGCTCAGTGTGTGACCCCATCCTACAACCAGGGCCCTGGGCTTGGTGTGACCCCCTAGGAGGGACCAATTCACCCTGACCCCACCCCCAGGCCCTGGGCTTGGTGTGAGCCCCTAGGAGGGACCAATTCACCCTGACCCCACCCCCAGGCCCTGTGCTTGGTGTTAGCCCCTGGGTGGGTCCAGATCACCCCAACCCCACCCCCAGGCCCTGGGCTTGGTGTGAGCCCCTGGGAGGGTCCAGATCACCCCTATACCACCCCCAGGGCCCTGGGCTCAGTGTGTGACCCCCTACCCCAAACCCAGGGCCCTGGGCTTAGTTTGGTATCCCTGGGAGCGTCCAGGCCACTCTGACCCCATTTCCAGGGCCCTGGGCTTGGTGTGACCCTCTGGGAGGGTCCAGGTCACCCCAATCCCCACCCCCAGGCCCTGGGTTTGGTGTACCCTCTGGGAGGGTCCATGTCACCCTAACCCCACCTCCAGGGCCCTGGGCTCAGTGTGTGACCCTCTGCCCCACCCCCAGGGCCCTGGGCTCAGGGTGACCCCCTGGGAGGGTCCAGGCCACCCCGACACCATCCCCAGGGCCCTGGGTTCAGTTTGGTGTCCCTGGGAGTGTCCAGGCCATCCTGACCCCATTCCCAGGACCCTGGGCTTGGTGTTGAAGTGGGTAGGCATATAGGTTAAAATCAATTAGGTTTGTGAGCTGGCAGACCACACCTTCACCACGCCCCTGTGTGACCTCAATCCCTACCTGGCCAGATCTGGGTGCCAACCAGCCAATCAGGTTAATTAACCACTCCCCTTTGGAAGTGGGTTAAAACCCTGGGGCACAGTGTGTCCAGCCTGGCTCTTCTTCCCTGGCCTCTTGTCAGGAGGGGGCTTGCTGTAGCCCTGCACCTCCAGGGTGCATGGCCTTTGGGCCATGTGCTCTAGGCTTCCTGGCCTAGATTCTCTTCCACGTGGCTGGTTCCTGGTGCTTGGTAAGAAACCCTGTTTACCTCTTTCTCTTAAATAAAGCTCTCACTCTCCTATGCATCTTTCTCACTAAATAAAAGCTTAAAATTGTGCCATGCTGCCTCGTTTATCTGTGCCGGTATTTAGAATTCTTTAAATATTAGGCAAGAACCCTCTTGGGCTTATTAATTTTGGGGATTTAGTAATAAGTCCATGGTGAAATCGTTAAGGCACCCCAAATTCTGGTAGCACATGTGGCACCTGGATAGCATTTCTAGGGAATTTAAGGAGCCACATCTTAGTGTAAAATTTTAGGGGGTCTTCTCTGATTTCAGTGTGACCGTCTGGGAGGGTCCAGGTCGCCCCAACCCCACCCCCAGGTCCCTGGGCTTGGTGTGTACCATGGGAGGGTCCAGGTCGCCCCAACCCCACCCCTGGTCCCTGTGCTCAGTGTGAGCCCCTGGGAGGGTCCAGGTCACCCTGACCCCACCCCTAGGGCCCTGGCCACTGTGTGACCCCCTGGGAGGATCCAGGTTACCCTGTCCCCCACCCCTGGGCCCTGGGCTTGGTGTGTCTTTGGGCATCCCTGGGAGGGTCTCTGTGGTCCCTGGGAGGTCCAGGGTCCTGGGGGTCCCTGGGAGGGTCCAGGTCTTCCAGACCCCCAACCCCAGGTCTCTGGCCTCCCCCCAGCCCCCTTTCACGGGGCAGACACTCTGACTCAGTTCCCGCAGGTCACCTGCCATCTGGCCCCTGGAATTTCCTCTTCTGGGCTGATGGACAGCCCTGTCTTCCTGTCCCTGTCCTGGACCTCTGGGACATACCCCTCACCCTAGTGCCCAGTTTCCATCCTGTGAGACCAGGTGTGGTTGACTTCGTGGCTCTCTCCCATAGCCATTGAGGGGCAGCATCCATCTGAGTCCATGGCCTGTCACTCTTAGCTTGGCCCAGACCCCTCCCCCTCCCTGACACCTGACAAAAGTCCCACCCCCTGCCTGTCACTCTGAGCCAAGTCACACCCCCTCACTGTCACTCTGAGCCAAGTCACGCCCCCGCCTGTCACTCTGACCCACGTCCCACCCCCTGACTGTCACTCAGATGGGCCCCACCCCTCCCTCTCCTCTAAATCAAGCCCTGCCCCTCCCTGTCACTCTGAGCCTGGTCCGCCCCCTGTCTGTGACTCTGACCCAAGTCCTACCACCTCCCTGTCCCTCTAAATCAAGGCCCGCCCCCTCCTGTCATCTTGAATCTGGTCCAGTCCCCTGCCTGTCACTCTGAGCCCAGAACCTGCCCCCTCCCTGTCACTCTGACCCAAGTCCTGTCCCCCCCCATCACTCTAAATCAAGCCAGGCCCCTCCCAGTCACTCTGAACCTGGTCCCGCCCACTGCCTGTCACTCTGAGCCCGGCCTGGCCCCTTCCTGTCACGCTGACCCAAGTCCTGCCCCCTCTTGTCTGAGCCAAGTCCCGCCTCCTGCCTGTCAGTCTAAATCAAGATTGTTGTAAAGATGAGATGGCTTGGTGAGGAACAGCAGGGTGTGAGTGACCATGGTGTAGAGAGGTCATGGGAGCCGACGCTGCAGGAGGGTAGAGGTGTGGGGGTGGCCATTGTGTAGAGGGATCAGGGGGCTGGGAGCCAACACTGCAGTTGGTGAGATGGGGTGGGGTGACAATTGTGTAGAGGGGCCATGGGAACCAACACTGCAGGAGGGGAGAGAGGTGGGGTGACCGCATAGAGCGGTCAGGGGGCTGGGAGCTGAGGCTGCAGGAGGGGAGAGGTTGGGGGTG